CACAGCCAGCTGGGCCCTCCCGCCATCCCAGCCAGCCCTGGGTCCTCTCTCCATCACAACCAGCCTGGGTCCTCCATCACAACACCTGCTGTACTGTTCTCAGTGGGCGCTCATCGTCTCAGAGGTCATCTCGTTTGTTTAACTGCCCCTCAACCTAAGCCCCTGAGGGCACGGATCCTGCCTGTCTTGCTAACACTGATTCTCAGTACCTTGCCTATAGTAAAGGCTCAATGATTACTTATTGAAAAACAAAATAATTAATAATTATCTGGGGAATAAATTAATTACAGAAACAGTCTCGTTTAGCTGTTGAACTTCCATTAGACTGTAGGGCCTGGAGGGCGAGGCTCCTGTCAGACTTGTTCAATGAGCACTTACATAACCATGTACCTACATAATAATTTTTGTTCCATGATTGAATGAATGACTAAGAAGTGAGGGGGCAGGAGGCAATGCACGTGGCTTCATCCACAGAGGAGCCTGGTTTAGTGGACAAACTGCCCGGCCCTACTTTGAGGATAAGCCCTTCCTCTCCTGACCCCCCGCCCCCTCCCAGCCGACAACCTTGTACCCCCATCAGAAATTTGACACTTCAAATGATGGCTGTGGAGGAAAATCTTTACATCTGATTACTTAGAAGCTAGTTAGAAGCACTGACTCATTTTCTTAGCTCATTTGATTGTTAGAAACAAAAGCCAGGTTAATTTAGGAGGGAGAATCATTTTTTAAAAAATACCTGAAATCCTTTATGTAGAAAAAAACAGAAAAATTACATTAGGCAGGAAGGAAAATGGTTGGCTAAGTGTAATGTGTGGTACTCAGGACTTAAAAAGACCCCTACTGTACTTAGAGTGAATTCTTGGGGAGGTAATGCTTTGAGGCTTGCTGAGTGCCTCCGCCTTGATTAAGACGTAAAGTTAATATTGCTGGTTGTTAAAACACTGGCTAGGAGCCCTCAGCACAGAACAGCCTGTTCCTGTTATTCCTGGCCCTCCACGAAGCTTTCACCATCCAGGACTCCTCCTCGGTTTATTTTACAGAATGTTATTCTGCACCCCATCTCCCCCCAGTTCAAGATTTCGTGAAAGTTAAATGACACCTGCCTTCTTCTACCCATACTATGTCATTCAGTTTTACTTACCCCATCTGGAATGATGGGGACAGGGATGGAAGGATGAGGATCTAGGACTCACGCGTCTTTTCTGTGTGTCCCCAAGGTGGGAATAATACCACCTTGTATAGTACTTGCAATTGGAGAGCAAGACCGCTACATACGTGATCTCCTGGAGACTCATGACTCATTTAGAATCATCTAAAGCAGTGGTTCTCAACCTTCCCAATGCCGCGACCCTTTAATACAGTTCCTCATGTTGTGATGACCCCCAACCATAAAATTATTTCCGTTGCTACTTCATCACTGTAATTTTGCTACTGTTATGAATCATCATGTAAATATCTGATATGCAGGATGTATTTTCATTGTTACAAATTGAACATAATTAAAGCATAGTGATTAATCACAAAAACAATATGTAATTATATGTGTGTTTTCCGATGGTCTTAGGTGACCCCTGTGAAAGGGTCATTCGACCCTCAAAGGGGTCGCGACCCACAGGTTGAGAACCGCTGATCTAAAGGAATAAAATGAATGGCTTTTAGAAGTGCCCAAGCATTCTGGCTGCAACCGGTCATTATCAGGTCATTAACTTGGAATTAAGTAGGTGACTGGCTCTTACGGCCCTTGCACCAGGATGACACACCATCCCCAGGTCCCCATGCCCTTCCCTGGGTGGAGGGAGGGAAGAATGCAGGTGTGGTTCCTACTTGCAAGGACCTTTGCATCTGGCTGAGGTGCCAAGACACAATCGGAATGGCTAGAAGATATTTACAGGGAGGGTTGGTTAGGTGTTTAGAGCAGAGAGACCCACGACTGGACTGCAGCCCCTTTGTGCATGTTGGTGGGCAGAGCATCCTCCTGGACCACGGGACGCTTTGGCTGAAGGGCTGGGGCCAGGAGCTGTTTTGTGAGGAGGCACATGGCAGCGGCAGCACCCAGGGCAGTGGGTCCACGCTACTGTGACCCAGACACAGGCCTTGCAGGAGAAGTGAAGGAAGCCTTGAGCGCCAACGTCAGCTGGGCTCCTTTTATTTTCCAATTCCAGGCATCCACATGCTGACGTCACCACTTGCTCCATCTTCATACCACCAGGTCCAGCATTACTCTATTTTTCAGGTCATTTTCTTTACCAGTACACTTCAAATAAACTTCATATAACTGCTGTCAACAGAAGATCGGTATTCCCCCCTGATATATGCTAGACACTATGAAAGTAAAACAGTAAGCTCCCTACCACCTCTTAGACCAGGGGTGGGCAAACTTTTTGACTCGAGGGCCACAGTGGGTTCTTAAACTGGACCGGAGGGCTGGAACAAAAGCATGGATGGAGTGTTCGTGTGAACTAATATAAATTCAAAGTAAACATCAAACATCATTACATAAAAGGGTACGGTCTTTTTTTTTTTTTTAGTTTTATTCATTTAAAAT